TACCATTTCAGATTTTTGAGAAATATATTTTCCAGTGGTAGTGAAATAAAGCAAATAATTTTAAAAGATAATAGAATTCTTATGTAAATTTTGTCAAACCTTTGGGCATGACTTATCCATATGACCTTTAATATATATCGGTTTCAATTATTTATGTGTTTGCTAAATTCTTTTAATTTTAATTTACTGAACTAAATTAAAATTAATTAAAATTAAAACATTAATACGTTAATACTAGGAAATGCTAGGGATAATACTAGGAAAATTACTTTCTTAAACTACGGAAATTTTATAGTAGTTGGAGAGTAAGGGGTAAACATTAATAAATTCATAAGGCCTCGAGTTGTGCAATTTATGTAAGTTTAGGCAGTAACTAAAATGAGCATTTGTTTAAAATTTGTATACTATATTCCAGTTATGAGCCGTGGTGGCTCAGGGGATAGAGCGTTCGCCTTCCAATGAGGGGAGCCAGGTTCGAATCCGAGCGATTGCTGGTCGATACGAATTCCACCCCCCGGTTGACACCGACCATAGTGCTGCCGTGAAATATCCTCAGTGGTAGACACTTCATGAGTTAGAGTCTCCTTGTCATCAGGCCAACCGTGGAAGGTTTGCGTCGTTTTCCTCACCATGTAACGCTAACGCGGGTTAGTTCCATCAAAAAGTCCTCCGCGAAAGCAAATTTCTCCCAATATTTGATCCTGAAGTACCCTCGTCCTCTGGGCTGGGCTCAAAAGTACAAGTCTACGGAGTTCGCATTGGTAGTCGTAAACTCAAGAACTACAACATTAGGAGTACGATATTAGTAGTCGTGAACTCCAAAAATTGGGTCGGCTATTCAACGATGGTTATAAAATAAAAATGAGAATAAATAATCCACTTATATTTGTCTATTATCTTGCAATTAATTTGTATTATTTTCCATGGATGTAACCTCTGGGTTGTTACATTTTCTTTACTTACTAATTGTATTACTTACTAAATATTTCATTGTGATAGAAAATTTATTATAGCCTCTGGTGCACTATTTATTAAAATACATTTGGATTACAGTCTAAAGAAGAAAAAAAACTGAAGCATACGAAGGCATGCTTCTATACTTATTTTAAACTTATTGAGCGAAGAAATCATTTTGTATAAATTAAATCACCCTTAACTAAAATGTGATTTGTATCTTGCAATTAAAATGCAACGCTTCAAATAAGTCTTAGATTTACTCTCTCAAATGAGTGGTGCGTGAAAGTTGAACTACGTGTTTAGGTAAGCCCGTTACATTATCGAACGGATAGGTTTTAACTCTTACAGGAAATAAAACGGAAATTTTAAATGTCTTTTCAATTTGGGCAAAGGAAAATTAAGTATAATTACTACTTTATTCAGGAAAAACTGGGCACCTGGGTCGCGAATTAAGTATACTCAAGGTAGCCAGCTTATAACGATTTTGCTGTAATTTTTTCTAGTGGCAGCAAATTTGCGTTTCAATGCTTAGTTCTTAGCTTAATCGAATGCAAACCTATCTATAGGAGAAGGATTTTTAAAGGGACATTCTTTTGAAAAATAGGCTAGAAACGTAATTATTATAGTGATTTTGTACAGTCAGTGAAATAAAAATAAATAAAATAATAATGGATCACCTTAGTAAGTTTCTAACCGTTAGTCGGGTTATGATTCTGTAAAGAATTCTGGAAATATATCTTAAAGATATCTCCTAAATTATCTGTAACGGTTAACTATAACTGCGGTAGAATATACTTATTTTGACCAAAAAAACGCACTTTTTCTGAAAAAACATGTCGATTTCTAATAGCATTCGATTTAGAAGGCAAAAATAACCCCTGAAACCAAATTTCATAAAATTCTAACAATTAAAGGAGGGCCTACAAAGACAAATGAACATATGGCGGGAAAAAAATGGAATGCCGCCAGTTTTTGGCTTTAATAGAAACAGATTTACGTAAAGCATCACTTTTGCGCAGTCTATAAATAATTCTTTGCTTTAACTTACTATTTCGGAAGCAAGTAAGTCCCCAAATTTAAAAAACGAAGATAAATTGGCAGCAAGATATTTTAAGTTAGTTACAACGCAATATTATCAATCCGTGTTATGTGGTCTTCCTCTCCATGTAACGCAAATACGGGTTAGCTCCATCAAAAAGTCCTCCACGAAGGCAAATTTCACCCAATACTCAATCCAGGAGTTTCCTTGTTTTCTGGATTGGGTTCAAAATTATAAGGCTACGGAGTCGAACATTAGTAGTCGTAAACCCATAGAATTGGGTCGGCTGTTCAACGACGGTTATTAAAATATATATAACAATTTCTATACCTCCTAATTAAAGGAAAAATTTGGTCATTAAAAAATTAATTAATCACATTTATTCTTTTTATCTAAATTCCTCAGTATTTTAAATTGTTGTCTTTGAGTTGTCTTCGCGCAGTTAGAATTATAAAATGAAAGCTTATTCAATTTGATTTAGATGTATGTAGAATTTATTATATTAACAGTAAGTATAAAACTAAAATCTATCAATTTTCCAAAAAAAGCAATTTAAAAAGATTATATTCATTTGAAAAAAGGGTGCATATAGGGGCCTTTCTGGCCGGGCGGTATCATCCGCCAAACGCTGTGCGAAGCGTGGAGGTGGCGGGTTCGAATGCCGCCGTGATCCAGGATATATTCTTCTTGATGTCCTTCTACTGGACAAAAGCTTATAACCCTAAAATTGAGCACACAAGACTGTATGTTATTTCAATAAAGCAATTAAAATGCTAAAGGGGACCGAAAATGAAAAAAGCAATAAAAACTCATTTCATTATTAAATATTTTATATATTTAATTATACAATCTAAACAACCTCCGTGATTTATATTGGAGGTTATTCATATCTAAAGCGAAAACATTCATTTCAATCTTTTTTAATAATAAATGGAAAGAAATATTATAAAAATATCAACTAATTTAAAGCTCTTTTAATAGTTTTTTGTTTTTTATGTCTCCACTTTTTATAAAAAAAAACATCTAACTAAAAAAACATCAGCATATCAATGATCAAATTTTGTAAAATTGATGATCTAAATTTCGAGACGTTTTTAGGATTTTCTATTAACTTCCGTAAATAGAAATTTATAATGATAATATTGAAATGAAATGCAACCGTAGAATCTAAACACTTTCATGAAAAAGGAGAGAAGCTATCTACGATATTTATTTTTCCAGTTTTGTGATATAAAATAAGTAGAAAATAAATTCCAATTTTATTTCAATCATGAACGCATGGCTGAAAGCTTTCTACGCTCTTTGTAAAAATTTATTCTAGTGGTTTCTAAATTTATGTTTCAATGTATTACTTTTTATACATTTGAACTTATTTTCCACACCACTACATGTAAATGATTTAAAAGTTCATATGCAACGCCACTTTTGTTTTAGCTCTTTCGCGGTGAGGCTTTTAAAATGTTGCCGTACTTAGCGAAAATTCTGAAAGCCTTGGTTGTTAAATGTCTACAAAATACTTTACAAAAACCGTAGTAGTTGGCAGGCCTATGAAAGCTCAAATTACAATCAGGTAAAAAAAAACTTCGCTTTAAAAAAGTGGTTATAGGTCTGGATTTAAAATAAGTGAACATTAGCAACCCGTTTAATTTAAAAAGTAATGTCGTCCTCATAATCTCACATTCACATAAAAAAAAAAGCATTTTATATTCGATACAAATTATTTTCGAAACCAAAATTAATGTGAATAATGATATGATGCTAGTAACAAATTTTTTTCTTTAATCCATTTTTCTTTTTGGCTATCAAAAAAAAAGCACAAGCTTTTTTTTCAATACGTACGAGTTAAATAAAAGGAAAAATTCTGAAATAACTTATTTGGTACGATAAAATCACTTTGGAAACTTAAATAAGCAGAAAAATACGTTTTTTTTTAGTTTTTATTTCAGGAAAGAAAATATTATTACCACACTTAATTCATGATATTAATCTGGGGCCATATTTACTAAAACAAGCAAACTCATTAGTTAACATAGTGAAAAATTTGGAAAATCTTGCTGCTTCCTTTTATTTGTTTTATAAATTTGGGATTCAATTGACTTAACTGCCTTATTAATAGAATTATGCAATGAGTAATAACTAACAACCAGCACGGATTCCCGAGTGCTTTGCGTTAATCTGTTTCTACCAATGTCAAATTTAGCGACATTCCAATTTTTATGCCAAGTGTTTATTAGTCTTCGTAGGCTCTCTAATAGTCAAAATGTTATGAAATTCATTTTCAGGGGTCTATTTTTGCATGCTAAATCAAAAGTAATATGCTTCTTCAAAAAGAATAGTGCGTTTTTTAAATCAAAATAAGCATACGCTTGAGTTCTTAGTGTAATGTAAATAATTATACTTAAACAATTTTTCCTAAAATTCGCATATTTCTCTTGCTAATATAGTTAATACCCGTTCGATTTAATGTAATAGCTCTGTCGAAATTCTCTTAAACAAATCCCAATATTTGTTTCAAAAATTATGTATTTTAATAACAAAATTATATTACTGTTACTGTATTTCACGAGTAAGTATTAAAAACGTAAATAGTTTAATTTTATATAATTCTTTCAGTTTTATCAGAAAACATATCAGTATTTATATCTAGTAACTGCAACATGGTGTTGATGCTTTAACTTTCATCATCTGCTTAATACCGCACGATGTTCAAAACTTTTTCGATGGATTGTAATTCAATGTATAAATTTCAACACTTTCCTAAAAAAAAATCTTGTTTTCGAAATCAATTTATAATTTTAAAAAAATAAGCATAGAAAAAAAAACAATTTTCTTCGAAATAAAAAATGAAAAACATTATTCGGTTGTTTGCATTTGCAAAACTTGTTTATACCCTTGTACTTCAACCATTCATTCTGCCACAACAAAAAAAACGAACACAAAAGATTCAACTAAACTATAATTCATTTTACATTGCAATGATATGCAATTAAAAACCAAAACTCACCTGACTTTCCCACTCCTTCGGCTCCAGTCACGAGTATTTTAAGCCGCGTACCGCTCACGTTGGTCATTTTTGACATTAGTTTTGACTCCGACCAAAAAAGAAGACGACTTTGCCGGTTGGTTTGCTCGTGTAAGAATGACGAACACTTCACTACGAACAGGTGAGTACTCTTCATCTCTTGCACACACCCCCTCTACTACCTCTTTTCTTCCTTCTTCTACTTTAGGTTGATGCACCCCTCTTCAATCTGATCATTTTAATGTTTTTGTATGAAGATGGAGAAGAAACCCGTTCGTCACTCAAACAGAAGAATATTTGGCGAATAAACAGAGAACATTGAGATGATTTGTAATGATGTTTGATCTCTGTTGAGTAAGCTACCGTGGTTTTATTATTCAGCGTGAATTGTTGGCTGAAAAAAAAGTACTTTCGAACTTCCTCATTGACCTATACACTCGTAATTTTCTTTATTGGGAAAGTGATGATTAGGTATAAATTATTGCCGTTAAAAAAACATGAATTTCAGAAATTTTTTGATATTTTTCAAAACTTAGCAAACTTTTTCGTCCAGCAAGCAGAGCAAAATAAATGTGATTTTAATGTATCTCGGTTGTCATATGCGCAGAAAAATCTGGAGGTTAAGCTTCTTTTATCCAACTTTTTTTGGGAAGCATAAATTGCACAGGGAAACAGTTTTATTATTGCATTTATGATATTACAAAACTCTGACTACACATCTTCTCATGTTAATTATATAATAATCCGTTGGTGAATTAAATGTAACGGTAGTTAAAATTATTTTAAATTAAATTTATTAAAACAAGAATCAAGATTGAGTGTATAAATGTGACTACTAAATTTATTGTAAAAATAAAACTTTCCGAAAACTCCGAAAGAGTTGGCTGGTATGATATTATCAATTATAATCTTAGTTGTAAACCGAATACTAGACAAAATTCTGAAATTTTGCAATCTGACTTAACTGTGCGCTGAATACTTTGGCAGTTGTGTCATTCTATACTAAATATACGATTTAAGCTATAAGCACTGTTTTATATTTTTTCTACTCAGCAAATTTTTGTCAACTGTTAGATTTAACTTTTACTCCACGTCGGTAAGTTTGTTTTCTACTTTCTTTTTTTTTTACCTCAAATTCATTTTCAATTGCATTTTTACTTTTTGGTCACATAGACGCATTATAAAGAATAATTTTTATCTTAGGTTAAAACTATTGGCACAATTTAACCCCTTAACTTGAGTGCTCGAGTTAATTCGAGAGCGCTATACAGGCCAAACTGTGCACACTCGAGATAATTCGAGCGGCATTGTATTTTATGCTGCTGTACTTTTTCACACTCGAATATAATCGAGAATTGAAAATAACAATGTGAAAGCTAAGAAAAAAAAATCGTTTTATTGATATTTATCATTTACATAGTATTGTAAGTTATAGCACTTCTTTATTCAAGAATAAAATATGCAGAGATGCCAACTAGCTCCGGACAGCAAATATCTATATTAAAGTGGTAGTTTATCAATTGTGATTCTTGGTTTAATAAATTCTATTTCGTAGATTTTTATCCACCATCATTTCTAAATAATTCGTAGGCTAATATAATTCACACCACTTTATAGTACTTATGTCATGCTATACCTCTTAAAAAGCAAGAAAAAATAGACAAATATTTGCAAAATTTACTTTGTAGTTATTTACTGTTTNTTTTTTTTTAATTATTTTGGCTTGTCCGGAGCAGTTGGCATCTTTAAATATGGCCTTTTTCTATGGAGCAATATCAAAATTGTCCCCCAAAAGAAAAGACAATGCTCTAAAGTGTGTTTTTTTACATTAAAGATAATTGCTTTTTTTTGGCCCTTTTTTTTCAAAAAATCTGTGTGTTAAGGGGTTAAAAGATCATGCTTGAAACTTTTAGAAATGGTATCATTTTTAACCGTCTTAAGTTCGGATCGGTCAAAATGAGCGTTGGAAATTAATAACTTTTTTCCAGCTTTACCACCAGTAATTTTGAAATTATAACAACGTTTTATAGCCTGTTTTTTTTTCTGTGTTCGTTGTATTTTTCTTTAGAAAACTCGGTATCAATTGTTACATTTATTTAAATATGCATAACTTAAATATTCTACTCTTCTAAAATGTTTGGACAATACAGAACGCTTTGAATTTTTTTTTTAAAAAAAAGAAATAAACTTTAATAAGAAAAACTAATACGTAAATGAAAAATTGTGATAAGAACAGTAGATAAAAGTATAAATATTAATAAAAACTATTTCATTTTTATTTAATTTTTCTATTTATTACTTATTCGTACACTGTAGGATATTATGATTTACAGTTATCATCGTATTTAGCGTCTAGGTAACCTAAATATATTTTTAAGGGTAAAATTGTAGTTACCGTGAAAAAAATTATATGAAATTGACAAATAACAATTGTTTGAAATAATTAGTGCAAATATATTTCTATAAATATACCTGTTTTTTTTTTAAACGAAATGTTTTTGCTAAGAAACATGACAGTAATTGTAATGAGGATGAAAATATGTTTTTTCAGTGAACAAACAAACAAAAAATGAATAAATAAAATTTTATCAGTGAAAAAGTAAACGCACTGTAAAAAATTTTGGTTTACCTCGACGCCAAAAATGGTGGCAACTATACAGTAAAATTTAAAAATTTTTGCAGTGTAACTACCACCATGTTTTACATCTAAAGCGGAAATATTCCTTCCATCCAGTTTTCATAATAAAATGAAAGAGACTTGATGGAAAGTATTCCTAATTTTATTTAATTTAAGAGATTTTTGATTTTATTGGTCACCAATTTTTACATTTCTTGGTGCACGTATCATTCCTAATGACTAAAAATTAAAAAAAAAAACTTATCCCAATTTTCCTCATAACAAGAGTAACAAAAAAAGAACTATTTTGAAAATCAATTTTGTAGTTTCTGAGAAAAGCTAAAACCTAGTTCGCTATTTTTTATGTTGCCGTTTCTAATGACACTTGAATAAGCCGAGCTCGGCCTTTTGCTAATTAAGTCAGGAAGGTGTGCCTTTCGTTTGACAAAAGAGCACCACAAAGGTACCTCAGAACTTCACGAATAGATGGCAGCACCATTCATTCATTTGGCCACTTTTTCAATTTAGAGATTGAAAAGGAAGTAAATTTTCTCCTGATTCCTGTACCCATGGTTCTGCTCAGCAAGTTGACACAAGACTTTCGATTCTACAGATTTTAAAACTGCACCGAGTACATCTATCACATGTACTCGGTGCAGTTTTTTATATTACTACGTTTACTACATCCTACTTTTGTTAAAGGCACAGTTCTACTTCGACTGTTACTATTTCTCAACTCTATTCAAGTACCATAGTTTCACACTATGTGCTGAAAAGAGACAAAATGATGTAAATTAAGCATTCAAACACCAATCTCAAGAAACTGATTAACTCGATTATGGAGTATTCTATTATCCTCATTTTTGAAAACATTTATTACCAGGATTATATTTCGATTAGGCTCATTCTTCGCGAATAGAAACCGAGGTTTGACCTTTAATCTTTCTCAGATTGAACAACTACTAGATTTTCTACTATTTAGCGAAGAAAAATACGGTATTCATGAATATATTGACTCGCCAACTTCCTTTTTCAAATACATATCTCAAACAGTTTACATCGGATTAAGTTCAAATACAAAATTAAGTCTTTAAATAGAACATTTCTTCAAAACAACAAATTTCTCAGATGCCCGTGTAGTACTTTTTGTCCCCACAAAAGTATTTACAATTCGATTGTTCTTTTATAATTTTTTTTAATGGTTTCGTAAAAATCATACGAACATCAATTCTAACTGTTTTAATCTGAATCTAAAAAGTTATCTTAACCCATATATAATTTTTGATAATCATAGTGTGTAGTTGCTCGAGGCTTTTAGGTCTACTTAAGCAAAAAATATTTTTTATGATAATTTTCTAAAAACAATATATTGAATAAATTACAAAAGTGACACCGTATATCTCGGTGTGTAAATTGATCCGTTGCATATATCTATCCCTTATTTTTAATTACGAAATGGAAAATTTCTGGTATGTCTCGTGTATATGTCGACCCCTTGAAAAAATATATAAAAAAAAAAATTTAAAATTAAAATTCATGAAAAAAATTATTAAGATGAGGATGAAATAAAATTCAGAGCAGAGTGGGTGGGACGATAATGCTAACGTTATTGAATATGCCACAGATAATTTTCACGAATCTTTAAATTTGAAGCTTTTTGTTATGTTTTAAAAGTTTTCATTGTGTTGCAATTTTTGAAATAGGCTTGAAAAAATTGAATTTTAACTGTTCTTAAGTTTTTTTTCTGAGTGTTATTTAAAAGATTGCTTCTAAAAAATTATATATATGTAAAGAAAATATGATTTGAGAAAATTAAAAAATTAAAAATAGTTTTGAAAGGGGTAATTTGATGCAGAGTTATTTATGTCTATCTCATTGTTTATAATGCCTCGATATTTAACTATCAACGAATATCCGACTTTGATCGAATTATCAGATCTTTACGTTCTTAAGAATAAATCTTAATGGTTCGAGGGGATGACCTCAAATCGTCTAATTAATTAGAGCAGACAGACGATATTTTATGTTACGAAATCAGACACAAAAACTTACTCCCACTGAATAAACAATAAACAAACCTTTTTCCCCAATGAATTCGGATTTCTGACCCCCCAAACATACGGGTATCCGCAATCTGGGAATTATAGTCCCCATAGTTTAGTCAGGAGAGCCCTGCAAAGTTTGGACGCCTTAAGTCAATTTTACATTTTTCGTATCTACCTATATCTCGAAAACTTTTTAAGCGAATTGACAAATCTTTGCACACAATTATAAAATTCGATTAGGCGAAGAGAACTACAAGCTATAATTTTAAAAGTATAACAAGCTATAATTTTGATTTTGAAAATGACGAGTAAAAGTACAAGTACAAAACAAAAATAATAACTATTTAAAAAGTACATCTAGAGGAAAAATGTAAATTTCATTAAAAAAATGTAAGAAAATTTTAATCAAAATTTATTAAATTTTAATTTAAAGGTATAAGACTTTAAAATGCGGGAAAATGTTACACAATTCTATTGAAATGGTGAATGCTGAAAGAAATCAAACGAGAAATCAAAATTCAATGTTTGCACATAAAAAAGGAATTTTAAATTATACTCATCGTAAAACTATTAAATATTTGGATAGAATTTTTAAAAACAGATTAATTTTTTAACAAATTCGATAACATAGACAATTTTTGTTTAAAGAAATAAGCAAAAAAAGTGTATTCACATACAGGTAAATCC